GTAAATATGCGCACGTGCCCACACGACACATGCGCGAGCGCAACGTGCTGTTTGTGCCACGCCCGCCAGTGTTTTGGAGGCTTCGCAAGCTCCAGAAGCGTGCAATGTGCGGGACTCAAAATTCTGAAGTTTTGAGTCCCGGCTCTTTTGGTAGCAGAAGCGGGAGAGATGATGATGTTACTGCAAGTGTTGTGGGGCTGCAGGGCTTTCAGGTGTATAACTGATCTCGGATTCAGTAGAGAACCGACGCTATTGTGGCTTGGGCATGGATGCTCTTGTAATCAGACTCAATAGATGAAAAATGGATGCTCTCGTAATGATATTCAATAGAAACTGGAGGCTTTTATGGCTTGGGCATGCATGCTCCCAGAATCGGATTCAGTGGAAAACGTTAGTACGGCTTGGGCATGGATGCTCTCACATCCGTAATCAGATTCAATAGAAAACGGCCTTTAGTATGGCTTGGGCATGGATGTTCTCGTAACGGTATTCAATAGAAAAGGGGCGCTTCTATGGCTTCGGCATGGATGCTCTTGCAATCGCAACCCCCGGTCCCACGTAGCCTGATTGCTACTGCTAAGGCATTCGACAACAAAAAAACACCAAAACCTTTCTTGTGGGCATTGAAAACCCTCTCTTGTGGGTATTTATGTGTGTTCGGAGGGCAAAATTCAACCCATATTTTCAGGGTTCATCATCTCTGCCACTTGTACAAGTATGTAAGCCCCATACCAAGACCCAAGTCCTAGCCATCTTGTTGGTCTGAAACCCAAATCCACGCCTGGCGCAGGTACACGGATGCTACCCTGACAGGATCAGGGATTGCCCAATCATCTGCATAGCAATCCTTAGAAAGATCCACCAACGAAACTCTGGCCACCACTGCTAGAGTGGGGTGGATTGCATGTCTGCTGGAACTTGAAGTGTTCAAGTTCTACTAGTGCTTGAGAAACTCCACCTCACCAGAGCCACCAGAGCTCCAAGCTAGCAGCCAACTCAATGAAAGTTGGATATCCACAACAGTACCAAACCATGCGCAAACCCAAACCTGATACTGAGGGGAATTCGACCCTGGACGACTGGGTGGAAAAAAAACATCTGCATGTCGAGATGCGCCGAGGGCGTGAGTCATGTTCCGCGCCTGCCCGTCTTGCTTCTTGCTGGCAGGCAGTGGGACTGAGGGGCCCGCATGGCTGACTTCTGTATGAGCCGGGGTGGCTTTTAGGGCCTGAATTTCTGGGTTTCTTCTGACCATAACTACACGAAGGTATCTGACAAACCGACTTGAGGAGCATTGAGGTCATAGGGCCTCAGCTAGTTACAGCATTATCCTCACTGCACCCACTGCACAATCCTGCACTGGAGTCGGCTGCAATACCTTCAATCTCAGGGGTTTCTAAGCTCCGTAACCAAACCTCTCAAGCTCCTCACGGGCAAGGCTGGTATCTCCTCCATCCTCTGGGTGTCCCCAAGCGACGATGAGGCCATCAGCCCGGATGGCTGCAAAAGCACGCCAGGAAGCTACAATCTCCCTGACATTTTGCAGCTGGTTCTGCACCAAGCTGCTCTCTCCACCATACTCTGAATCTCCCCATGTAACCACGCGCCCATCTGACCGCAGAGCTGCAAAGGCTGCAGCTGTTGCCACAATTTCCTCAACGTGAACAAGTTCTTCCTGAACCATGCTGCTGTCACCCCCATCTTCTGGCGAGCCCCAAGTCACTACCCTGCTGTCAGCTCGCAAGGCAGCAAAGGCAGACCAAGTAGAACGCAGCTGCCGGACATGGTGCAGCTGACCCTGAATGCCTGTACTGTTGGCTCCGTTTTGCTCCTCGCCCCAAGTCACAACATTTCCATCAGATCGAAGTGCTGCAAAAGCGGAGGCGGAAGCCTGGATGTGCTGTGTGTTGGACAGTTGGTCCTGGACTGCGCTGCTGTCTCCGCCATCCTCTGTCGTGCCGAAACACATGACTTTACCGTCCGATTGGATCACCGCAAAAGCCGCCCAAGAGGCATGAACGCTAGCCACGTTCCCCAACTCATGCCCGGCTCGAGCCAGTCCTCCCCAAACCACCAACCGACCTGAAGAGCACAGTGCAGCGAATGCCCCTGCACAAGCAGTGATCTGACGAACATCTTGCAGAAGATGTTGCACTGCGCGGCTGTCACCCCCATCCTCTGCTCGGCCCCATGTTACAACCCTACCATACGACGTGATAGCAGCAAATGCCCCTTCACTGGACTTGACCTGAACCACATCCCTCAGCTTAGCTTTCACAGATTCGCTGTTTCCACCGAAGCTCCTGCAACCCCAGGTGATGACACGTCCATCGTCACGAACAGCAGCAAACGCAGCAGCCGTGCCTGTCACTTCCTGCACAGAAATCAGCTGCTTCTGAACAGCGGAGCTGTCGCCTCCTGCCTCTGGGTCTCCCCAAGTCACTACAGAGCCATCTGCTCGGATTGCAGCAAACGCCTCTTCAGTTGCAGCAATTTCCAGCACTTGCACCAGCTTATCTTGCACGCGCCTGTAGTCATCACCAAAAGATGGATTACCCCAACATACAACATGGCCGTCGTAGCGGATAGCGGCAAAAACCGATCCCCACCTGGCTGGGCCTGTGGGATACTCCAGGGATGCAAATCGTGTCACAACCCGATTCCCATGCAGAGTCGCTGTAACAATGTCCCCATCCTGCACGCCCTTGTCGCACAGCTGGCAATCACGATGCAGCAATGTTCCATCTGAGCTGATAATGTCCCGGATCCCCAGCTGGCACACATGCTGTGCTCGGCGTTTGAGCTCGCTGACCGAAGCACTCGCATCAATGACAACAGTCACTGTTTGCCCACTCAAGAAGGCCACTGTGACCGAAATTAACATCGTCGGCATGGAGCATCCTTCAAGCCCTGCCGTCCTGAACCGCAGCCCAAAGCCTCTAAACCGAAAAGCTGCAACCTTTCGATCATTTGCAAGTCAGGCTATCTGAAACGCAGAATCAGAAGAGCAGTTCAAAACATGATCAAAGTAAAGCCCTGCCGAAGCGCGATCCGTGCCTTCAGCACCACGGCCATATCAGACGTCAACTGGCCCTGAGGTCGGGCTTAGGGTTGACCAGGCTCTGGGTTCTAGGTTTGAGGCCTGAAATGGCAGCTTATACCCATAGAAAAACCCCTCAGAACAGAGACGCTAGAATACAGCTTGGAGTTTTGGAGTCGGCCAGGACTTGCTTTGTAGAACTGCAAGCAAAAAACGCTGAATTTGTGGAACACTCAGCGTGGAGGTTACTCTGGACCAAGCCTACATGCTTTGGCAGCTCTGCAGCAGTGAAGTACCCGATTGAGAAACTTGTTTCACAACCTTGGTTCTTGCAATGGATATCAAGGCAAGTTCCGCAGGGACGTCAGCAAAGTCTATCCAAGGAGATATGGTAGTTTCCCTAAATAGGGGAATCCCAATATAGACTATAATCCTTATTATTGGAACCCCCAAAAAGGGTACCCCTCATTTTGGGATACCGCCATATTAGAAACAGTTAATAAGACCACCATCAAAAGCACCAGAGCATTGAACTCCGAATCCCGGGCTGTACAGGCTGACAACCCTCCCTGACTCCAGGATCCACAGCATTGGCATTCCTTCAGCAAAAGCAGCGACGGCTATGTATGACTCCTACTTGATGACACCATAGCTTCAGGGCTTAGTCCTAAAACTGTCCTTCAGCCGTCATGACTCATACTTGCACAGCCTGATGATGCTGGAATTGCTAGCTATGCATGCCCTAAACCCTAAACCTTAAAGCCTAAACCCTAAAGCCTCAAGCCAAAACCCTAAACCTAAAGCCTAGACCCTAAACCCTAAAAGCATCTGCTTTCAGTACGGGCCTGCGGGGCCCGGAACCAGTGCCGCGCATCAGCGTGCAAGTATGGCCGGAGCAGGGCGTCCTTCGCAATATAGATATATATGTATACATATATAATATAGATATACCCCGTTATAATACAGTAGTTTCCATTTTCTGTTCCATTTTCCCCATATTAACCCCAATATATTCCAGGATCTACGAGTCGTTCCAGATTGCCCTGCTCATGATGACTACCACTTCGATGCCAATGTGACAAAGAACCAAAACAGCACAAACCTCTGGGGATTGAGAGATCCGAGGTTCAGCATGCTTTGCCCATCCATTTGGACTCGCCAGGCTTTCTCAATGCAAAGCACCCTTACCGAAAGCAGAAGGGAAGTTTAAGAGTAGTTGCGGGCAGTCGTACTGGGCTCAAGCACCGGGACTGTTCAAGTAATGTTGCTTTTCCAACTCACCACTTTGACAGGCTACTGTAATGTTCATCGCCCTATTCTTCTTGGCGGTGGACAAATCCAGCTGCTTGGCTTTTACATGGCGAATTCTCAACTTGAATCTATGCATGCCGCAAGCACACCCTTCCTAAACAGAGAGTTATGGCAGTAAAGGGTATCAATCTTGAGCCGAAGTCACCTCTCCATGCCTTGCTCTCTTTCTTGAAAAGACGCTGACCTCACATCCGAAAGGTCAAGCTCCTTTTTTCGTGCTATCCTTGCTAGCCATTGGATGTAAAGAAGCACTGCCATGGGCATTGACAGGGAGCAACGGCTGTACCAGGACAGCTTCCAAATCTTTGACATCATGTCAGCGGACAAGACACGTGGAAGTTTCGCTAAATTGCCTCTGCATGATCTTAGAGTTACCCTAAGCCCTGATCCTTTTGCAATCCCACTACATCCTCAGGGTCCCTAAAAAAGGCCTTTTCGAGAGACCCCACATGGCTTCGGCTTGGGGCTAGCTTCACAGCAGACCATTGGGCTGTACACTGTACAAAGATCGTTTCCACGCTGAAGGCCCAATTTTCGTGCCCAAACATAGGAAGTTTGTATTAAGAGTGCCCAAGAGGAGCTTGAAACCGACAGCAAGGCAGAGGATGATGAGACTCATGAAGAACTACAAGACCAAAGTTATTGAGCTTCACTTCTTCTTGCCGCCCTTATCTGCTGCTTCTGTATGATGACAGCATACCACTTTACCAAGCAAGACAGGAACGTTGCCGTCCAAAAAGATGATACGCGATAAGCTGGGTGTCACATCAACGCTATCACAGAAAAACGGCCGCAGCGGCTCGAAGGTGCAGAGCCCGAGTTCTTTTCGGCCTAAAGATGTGGGACCTTCCACCTTCTCAGCCTGTCGACCACTTCGCCTCGACATCTTCCATTGGATGGCAACAATACGGCAGGGAGCATGGCCGCAGCGGGCGAAAGCAAGGGGACAGTAGCCAGGTTTCACCGGAGATCCGTTGCCAACGAAGATCACTTGCGCCTCGAGGCGAAGAACGTTCCGACCAATCACATCGCAGGCGCGGAACATCACGTCGCCAGTTTCGGGCAGGCAACGAAGGTCAGCGATGTGCACGCCAACAATGTCGCCTGCAGCTGCTGCATCCCGCCTCTCGTGATGCATCTCAATGCTTTTGGCAGATGCCGAGCAGTTCCTGTCCATGCCGCGATCTGGAAGAAAGAGGACTTGGTCTCCCGGCTGCAGGGTACCTTCTTCAAGCCGCCCAAGCACGACATCCCCGACACCAGGTATGCGGTATTTGTTTGATACTGGCATGCAAAGTGCTGCATCAGTCTTGCGCGCAGGTGGCCGGAAGACTTTGTCCAGCACATCATACAAAGTGCGGACGCGACATACTCTGCCATCTACTTCCACTTCCTGCCCAGTCCACCACGGCATGATGTGACTGCAGGGACTTATGAGGTTGGTTTCCGGTCCCGGAGGGCAGGAAACTGGAATGATCGGCGTGTTCTCCACAAATTTCCGTCTCCATCCCACCCTCAGCAGCACCCGCTGAATCTGACTCTTGATCTCTTCGAAGCGTTCCTGCCTGAAGGAAGGAACTTCGTAGTCCATTTTGCTGACAGCGACACAGAGCTGGTTCACGCCCAGGAAGCTCAGGAGTTGGGCATGCTGACGTGTACCTCCCTCGGGCGCCAAGGTATCCGCGAATAATTGACGAGCTGGCACGACAAGGATGGCAGTGTCCGCCTGCGATGCGGCCCTGAGCATGTTCTTGATGCAGTCCCTGTGACCGGGCGCGTCAATCAGCGTGTACCGCCACGTCTCGGTCAAGAACTCCCTCCTCTTGCAAGCGATAGTGATGCCTCTCTCGCGCTCTTCTGTGGAACAGTCCAAGAACAAGTGAGGGCATGCTGGGTATGACATATAAGTTCCCTGTTCCTGCTCTGGCACGCCACCAAGCTGAAATAGCATTCGGGCAGCTAGGGTGCTTTTGCCCGAGTCCACATGGCCGCAGATGACCACCGAAAGGTGCTCTTTCGACATTGCAAAGAGAGGCTACGTTGACTGAACCTGCGAAGGAATGCGGCTGCAAAACACAATCAAACAGCTGCTGAGCAGCGAGACTACTGCTCAAATGCACCCTCCACCTGTGCCCCTTGCATCAGACTGGGTTTGTGATTGAAGTGCAAACCTTGAGGTCTGAAAAGGCGACGGGAGGCGGACGGAGCCTCCCCCGGTTGACCCTGACCCACCCAAGTAACTTCTGTTGCAACCCTGCAGACCAAACCAACTCCCCAGGCAAAGGAGATAAACCGAGCAAAACCACAATCGGTCCGTCTCATCCAGCGCAGTTTCGAAGTCTTCCACAGGCATTGAGGCATATTCTTTGTCCTGCACTCATAATTGCTCTGCGGAGGTTTGCCCATTGCATGCCATGGATGTTTCCGACAACAGATGTGAGCGATTGAGGTAGCAGAAGGTCAGGCGAAGTAAGATCTCCTAGGACTCGCCTGCTCGACCGTCAAAGCTGTAGAATAATGGCGGCCACCGAACCCCTCAGAGATTGAGGAAGAGATGTTTTTTTTCTTTTTACGAAACTCACTCACGGATTACAACACGAGTGAAACATTTGGAGATGAACGACAAACAAGCGAGAGATAGAGAGGCCGAGCAAATTACAAATTTCATCTCTATTCGATAGGAGGGTTCCCAAAATCTGTGGTATCATTTTGGGTCTTTTTCCATACAGCTTGCTCCCAAGAAATCGAAGGGAAAGGAAACTTCAGTGTTGTTGGCCAAAACTCAAAAAAGATATGCAATTCTTCTACCTTCCACTTCACATGAGACTTGCCAGCCCACGGATAGCAGCTGAGTCTTACAGTGAGACCTCTGTCCTCAGGCATGTGGTTTGCCAGCTCATGGTCTTCGGAGATGAGCCTTCAAATCACTTGGAGCAAAGGGCTTGGACATCTGTTTTGGGAAATAGTCAAAGACAAGATACTTTTTCGACCTACAGGGAGGAAGCAGCGTGGTAGCAGGAACTGCGCAGCTTAAAGCCCAGGACTGCCGCAATCCCGAAGCCAGTCACAATACAGCAGGAATTTCAGTGTCCACCATGTCTCCCCTGAGCATGAACACTGACTCTGTCACAAGAGCAAGTCTCCTGGGCCTGTCTCGCTGTTGAAATCGTTTGAAGTGCAAAGCCCTAGGTGCAAAGCCCCGACCTTCAGAACCCAACAGAGAGCATTGTCTCTCTCTGGTGCCTCTGCAGATCCTTCGGCCGGACATAGCGCGAGCCTTCATTCTAGTTACACCTAGACGGGGCCAACTCCAAACATAGAGCCTGCTACGGACCTTGAGCAGGCTTTGCATTGAATGCACATACGAGTTGCTGATGTGTTTTTTCGGAGATCATAGTTGAGGACGAAGGCGGAAGCCCTGCTACTGCTTCATAGGAATCTAGTGGTATGATCCCATTCGCTCCCTTGGTCCCCTGCCTTTTTTTGGCGGGGGGGGGGAGGGGGTTGTCAGAAGCATGGCCCGCTGTTGAAACACCTGGTCTACTCGAAACTTGCAGTCCTAGATTTCGGGACCTTGTACAGAAAGCTTGATTTTGAGACCACCACAAAAAGGGAGCGGGTGGAGGTTTGCCCATGACTCACCTGTATGCCCCATGCATCGTTACATCTCTCCGCAAAATCGTGTATATATATATATATACACACACTTGTTGGTCTTCATCTACTTATATACATATATACATATACTTACATCCCTACATGTGCCTAGAAAATGTACATGGCTCTATCTAAGCCTATACATCCCTGCATATTCGCTGCACATCCCTACACATCCCCATAGAAGCCTACTTATATGCGCATATATCCTCCCACGAATAAAATGTGAGACAAGGCTCTGAGAAAGAAGGTTGCTCGGGCTGAGTTGCCCTTTAGAAGCTCAAGTACCTGGCAAAGTGGGGCTGTAGGGATATTTACCAGGTAAGGTTCCTCTAGGGAATGGAACAGAACATGGAAGCTACTGGAATATCTATGTTTAGGGTCCAGGGGGATGGTGGAGATGCAGAACATGGAGCCTCAAATGGAAACTGAGTTTATATCATAGTGTGCAGTTCTAGCGTGATGTTCAAAATGTTGGGTGCAATCATGCGATGTTTAGCATCGATCGCAAGCATAAACTCCTTGAATACCTGGGTGATCTGCATGGCATCCTCGACAATGCGCTAGGAACAACCCTCCCCACAATCCGCCAGAGTGCCGGCCTCGTTAAGCATCGAGGCTGACCAGTTGCCGCCTGAGCTGCACATGCTTCAGACTCCATAACCCCTAAACCCCAGTTTCCATGTCATTTTCAGTATCCTTTACATTCAATGCTCCTCATTGAGTTGAGAATATCCCCCATCCACTCACTCGCCTTTCATGCACAGCTTCCAGGTGCAAAGTCTCGGGCCAGGCTGTGAGTAGAAGGATTTGTGAGTCTTCTTCTTGTTCTTCTCCCTTCCCTTCTTCTGTTTCTTGTTCCTCTTTATAGTGTCCTCTATGAGAAGCCTCGGCAAATGCCGTCATCGATCGTCAGCGCCACAAGTCCAGTCACGGCCGGATACTCCGCAGCTGAAAAGTAAAACGTGGTGTTGCTCAGCTGGGGCAAGAGCCCCTTCCTGGCAAGGAGGACTAAAAGGTTGGGGCCTGGGAGGGTTTGAAAATGATGCTTTTGTTGGATTTTACTGGTTCCTACCTTCCTTGAACGAAAACAAGAACTTTCTCGTGCGTCTAAGCTTCACTAAAGACACAACATTGCGAGGACCCAACGATGTCACCGTACTCCTTAGTTCGAACTCCGCGCAGTGGCTGCGGCTACACTTGTTCAGTTTTTTGCTTGAAGGTGATTGAGAAATCAATATTGGGACCTGAAGTCCACAAGGATTTCAAGATGCTTTGGGCGGAAACGCCTTTTTTGTCCCACCTTTTCGGTCGCAAAGCTTTTTGAACTATCTTCTGCCTGCTCAACATGCTCTTCACATTCACGCTGCCCAACCTTTACGCCTCCAACCCGTTAGTGCTGCTTCACGCTTCTCGGTAAAGAGATAAACTTCAAGGTCTCTGTTTGGCACTCACAGAGGGAGATCAAAGTAGGTCCTGGGGCCTCTGGCAACACGCCCGAAGAGGCCCCGTATGCGTATGAAGGTGCATTCTGGTACTCAACAATGCTCAAAGTCAAGAAGGATTGACATGTAGTTCGCGCGAAGTGCAAAGGCGAGGCTTGACGACATGCAATTTGCCTTTGTCATTCTGCTACGGGGCACTTCTGCAGAAACCTGTGACGTACGGGCTGAAATCTTTGTGGCACTGCGCTCCCTCCGAACAGTATGTCACAGCATTCCAGTGTGGCCTTTTGCATGCCAGGTGTCCAAAGCGACCACAGGCCGTATTGACCCCAGCTTAGAGTGGGCGTTGACTTCCTGCAGCTTATGCTACCATGAGCTAGCACGAGTAGAAACAGGAAGCACAGGTGGGAGGGGAAGTGGCGGGGGAGTGGCAGGGACATGGAGAGGGAGCGGCGGTGGAGGAGGAGGTGGCGGCGGTGTTAATAATTCAAAACAAAGATAAGAACGGGCAGCCGTTCTCCTGGTAGATGCTTTTTCCCAACAGCTTTAGCTTTGGGCTCTCTTGCCCAAATAAGCCTCGGAGCAGATCAGAGCAGCCCTCGAAGCGGATTCCGAAGCAGCTTCGGGAGCGGGTTCCGACGGTGTTGGGGCTACCGGCTGGGATTATCATGATCTGCGTGCGCACTCTTCGCAGCTTGCTGCGCTTCAGGGGACATTTAGCTCTGCTTGTCTTCCGTGTATGGATGAAGGTCTAAGTCACCTCACTCGTGCCCTGGGTCATAGCTGTCAAATCTGCTGTCAGGAAGGTGACTCCCTCGCAGGCCTCGAAGAAAGCCAAAATCTTCAGGCCACAGCACCCGTCTTTATCCGTCTTTCAGGCCCTTGAACGATATCGACTGATATCGATGCCTCATGCCTGGAAGACCCCTATCAACAGCCCGACCAACTTGTAGCTTCTGAGGAATCTGGCTCCTGGGTCTCCAGGGCGGCGCTTGCTCCACTACGTGGCCCACCAGAAGCACCTGACAGGACCATGCTCGGAGGGCTGGGACCTGAGTAGAGGGAGCTTTAGTGGCTGAAACCCTCATGGAAATTACAATTCTGCCTATTGCTAAGCTTCTTGCTAGGTCTCCTGACTCCTGACTCTCCTGATAATGCAGGAAATTCTTGTTGCACCATCCGCACTCAGCAGGTGTCACCTGTTATTATTGTCGCAAGGTTCGCCGAACCGTTCTCCGAAGAGGCCCTGCTGATTTCATTTTTCTTGAACAACAATTCTTTCTGATCGAGAAAACCAAGCCGGTACAAAGACCAAGACCCTTGGGGATGTCCATCTTCTTCCATCCAGGTGAGATTTCTCTAGGTATGGATCCCGTTCCATCAGACTTCAAATGGAAAGCACAATGTTATGAAAGCATCTTTTCAGGAAAGAGGGTCGGAATGATCTGGGCCAAGACCCTCAAGCACAAAGGCCAAAACTCTATCAGACAAGAATCTTGGGGACAAAACCATGATATTCTTCCTTCTAGTTCAGATTCAAGCTTCGATATGGTTCTACTGCTTCCTTATTGACCTACCTGCGTTGTCGCCCAGACAAAGATCGCTGCCAGGCAGGCTCCTCGCCGCCGAAGCCGGCCGCAGCAAGACCATACCATGGCCACATGGCATCAGTGCGCGATGATGGTTGCGCTGCGTCACCGGAATAACCTCATAAGCTTCTTCGGCGTAGTAGCAGCAGCGGCAGTAGTACTAGTAACAATAGTGCTAGTGGTAGACGTACTACTGACTAGCAATCGTAGAAGCAATGGCAGTATGGTAGTATGTCGCAGAGTGGTGGTAGTAGCCGTTGTTGATGTTGTTGTTGTCGTCGTCGTAGAAGCAGCTCAGCGGCCGCAGCAGTAGTAGCCGTTGTTGCTGCTGC